CCTGTCCCGTTCTTGACAGCGCCATTCGCGAACGATTTCCAAAATTATTACGCCTGGTAAGTTCATAACTTTTTTTCACTATTTTCTAACAAGAATAGCATCTCTCACCAACAAGGTCTTGCCTAACGTGTTTGTATGACCATTAATTTGGGGACATGGAACCCTTTGAAAATCCAACAAAGGCTATATAATCCTTCTTCCCAGAAAAATGCCTGCAGACAAAATGGCATCTGTCAGGATTCCAGGGTCCTTTCCATGTCTCTTTTACACTTGATCTTTGACCCCTTACTCTTAGTTTTCCCATCTAATTACTCACCCAGCCTCTTTTTCTCTGGTTTACATTGTCAACTTTCACTTCCTTTTGGCAGGACGGCCATGAGTTACCCCCACCAATTGCCTTTGATATTGACACCCCTACGACGTTACCACCCTGCAAGGTGAGAAAGGGGGACAGAGTTAGAATTTGTGTTGGGAGGAGAGCACTGGTTACATGGTCCTAATATCTGTTTGATTCCAGGGAAGCTATTTTGGAACAGAGACCCTGAAGAATCTGGTCTTGCACTTCTTGCAGCAGTACGTATCCTAGGGTCCCTGAGGCCGGGCATAGGTGGGCTAGCCCCAGCACAACTCACTGTTGAAAACTGTTGGGACCCTTTGCAGATCCAGGAGCACAGACCTTCCCTTTCATTTTCCCCACAGGTACTATGCAATTTATGACTCTGGAAACCGGCAGCGACTCCTAGATGCCTACCATGATGGGGCCTGCTGCTCCCTGAGCATCCCTTTCACTCCCCAGAACCCTGCCCGGTGAGGATCACATCCCAGAACCTGCCGAGGACTAGAGTTTTTCAGCAAAAACAGGCCAGCACCTGCTAGTGTCCACACTGCTCTGATTATTCCCTCCTTTTCCTCTTGTTCCCCAGAAGCAACTTGAGCGAGTACTTCAAGGATAGCAGGAATGTGAAGAAGCTTAAAGACCCTAGTAAGTGTGTGATATGAGCAAAAGAGGATGGGAAGGAATCAGTACTGGGGCTCAGGGGTGCAGGGCAGCCCCTAACTTTGGCTCCTCTGCCCACAGCCCTGCGGTTTCGGCTGCTGAAGCACACACGGCTCAATGTCGTCGCCTTCCTCAATGAGCTGCCCAAAACTCAGCACGACATCAATTCCTTCGTAGTAGACATAAGTGCCCAAACAGTAAGCCCTCACTTCTTCCCTGACAGCCTGGATTTGGGGGAAGGGCAGTTAAGAGGCAAGGGGTCTTAGGCTCTGGCTTGGAGCCTGCATGTTAACTGTTGCTTCTTCTTTTTCAGAACACGTTGTTGTGTTTTTCTGTCAATGGGGTCTTTAAGGAAGGTGAGAATCTTTGGAGTGCTGTTTGAAGAGTGGTCCTTCCCCCAGCTAGAGTCTCAGCACTCTCAGCTTCCCAGCTGCCTTCTCTTCCCTCGTTTTCCCTGACCTGCTCCTGCTCTGCCCCCAAGTGATCTTCATTTGGCCTGCCCTCTCTACCCGTCTCTCCTGCCTGGGATATGGGGAAAGCCTGAGGCTTAGGACACAGACTTTGGCATCAGGCATGTCTGAGCTTCCATCCCCACCTTGGCCCGATATGTCTGTGGTCAATTGACATTACTTACGAGCCTCAGATTCTTTTTTTTTTTTTTTTAAGATTTTATTGGGGGGCCGGCTGAGTGGCTCAGTTGGTTAAGAGCTCGCTCAAGAGTTTGAGCTCTGAGCAACAGCGGTTCGAGTCAGCCCGAGCTGAGCAGCCGTGAGCTGCCAACAGGTGGCGGGATGGCTCAGCTAAAAAAAAAAAAAAAAAAAGATTTTATTGGGGAATTGGGGGAGGGGAACAGACAAGTTGCTATCCTTTTGTTCTTCAGTCTAGTTGTGGAGGACGTCGCTTCACTGGCCCATGTTGGTAATGATCATTGCACTCTTCCCGGGTGAGGCAGTTGCTCGCCAGCCATTGGACGGCCGCTCACGGCAGCTCATGGCAGTTCACAAAAGCTCACGCCAGCTGCCGGCCAGCCCCACTGCAGCCTACGCTGTCACCTGTGACTCACGGCAGCCCAGCTCCAGGTCGAGCTGTTGTTCACCATCTTAGCTGTAGAAGGTGCAGCGTCACTGGCCTTCATGTGGGATCCGAACCAGGGCCCTGCTGCTCAGAGCTGGCTTCCCAAGCCAACTCTTAACCAACGCACCACTCGGCTGGCCCCCTCAGATTCTTTATATGTAAAAGGGAGTCAGTTGCCATCTCGTGGTAAATGGAGTGACTTTAAAAACTGCTTGGGGGCCGGCTGAGTGGCTCAATTGGTTAAGAGCACGAGCTCTGAGCAACAGGGTCGCTAGTTCGCTTCCCACATGGGCCAGTGAGCTACGCCCGAGCTGAGCTGCCACTGAGCTGCCAACAGGTGGCAGGATGGCTCAGCTGGTGAGAGCACGTGCTCCTAACAAGGTTGCCTGGGATGGTGGGCTATGCCCACCTGCAACTAAGATTGAACCCGGCACCTTAAGCTAAGCAGCCATGAGCTGCCGACGGGCGGCCAGATGGCAACTAGACTTGGAGCTGAGCTTGCTGTGCCCTCCACAATTAAGAAAGATTGAAGGACAACAGCTTGACTGTTTTCTTTCCCCAATTCCCCAATAAAATGTAAAAAAAAAAAATGCTTGGGATGGCCGGTTAGCTCAGGTGGTTAGAGTACAGCCTCCGAACACCAAGGTTGCTGGTTCGATTCCCACATGAACCAAGGAGTTGTGCCCTCCACATCTGGATTGAAGACAGCTACTTGACTTAGAGCTGATGGGTCCTGGAAAAACACACTGTTCCCCAATAAAATTTCTAAAAAAAAAAAATGTGCTTGACACAGGGCTTGACACATGGATATTCTATCAGTGAGATAATAGTGCTTATTGCTGTCTTTCTGATCTCTGACACTCCTCCCTACCTCTGTTTTTCTGTACACAATCATCCCTGTCTGGCCCACTTAGGTTTCTTTGTGTCAAATAAGACGAAGATTTGAAAAGCAGTTTGTAAACATAATGCATGAGCGACTCTCGGGTCATTGCCATTGTTATCATTGCAGTGGATGGAAAGTCCCGGGATTCTTTACGAGCCTTCACGCGGACCTTTGTTGCTGTTCCGGCCAGCAATTCAGGGTAAGTGTTTGGCTTACCACATGGGGTCCCAGTCCCAGGCCCAGTCCATGGCCAGCATCGTGGAAATTGAAGGGGGCAGGGTGGACTCAGTCTTCAGGGTATTTTCAGAATTTCAGGAAGGTAAGGGAATCAGAGGAGGAGGCTCACATGGTGACAAAGAGCTTGGCTCGAGCTGGATTGGCTGGGTTTTTCATCCTGGCTCCACCACTTGTAGCTAAGGGCCCGTGTCCTCACCTGAAAATTGGTGTAACTATTCACTTCCTAAGTCTGTTGTGAAGGTAAATGGGAGCTAAGAACTGTCCATGGGGCAGAATGTACAATTCTAGAGTGTTTGGTAGTTGACCCCATCTGTGGAGTCCATGGGAAAGCCCATATCAATAAAATGATAAAAGGTAATGGCTAAGAGTGGGAGGGGGACCGTGTATGTATTGAAAGAATCTGAGTGTCAAGTGTCAGAATAAGAATAGTGTTGGGGAGATGAGGTTATATGTATTTGTCCAGCTACCTAAGGTGCTACTTGTCCCCAAGGTTGTGCATTGTAAACGACGAGCTGTTTGTGCGGAATGCCAGCGCCGATGAGATCCAAAGAGCTTTTGCCATGCCTGCGCCCACGCCTTCCTCCAGCCCCGTGCCCACCCTCTCCCCAGAGCAGCAGGAAATGCTACAGGCATTCTCTACGCAGTCTGGCATGAACCTCGAGTGGTCTCAGAAGTGAGTGCTGGGCATGTGTAGGAATAGGGGTAAACTGAGGTAGGACTGGTAGTTGGTAGTGAGTGTGCCTGAAATTTGAAAAGCCAAAACTTTTTTATTGCTTAAAAAAAGGATGGTCCATAAAAAGATTCCCCCATGTATAAATTAGCATTACAAAATTTAAAGCCAACATGAAGTCCCTTTTTATATACTGTTCCCTTTTTATATACTGTTCTGCAATTTACTGTTTTTACTTATTTCATGAATGTCTTCAGTCAGTTTAAAAATTATCTTTGTTTTCTTTGTTAGCTACTTAATACTCCTTTAGACTATTGATAGACATTTGGATTTTTGCTACTTTTTCATTTGTATGAATTGTGCAAGAATGTATGTAATTGTTGGCCAACTTGGACAAGTGTTTCTAAAGAAAGGATTTCAAAGTGGCATTTAGTGATGATCAGGGTGGCTGCATGTTGGTTCTAATGGAAGTGCCTGTTCTTCCCTCACTCCAGGTGCCTTCAGGACAACAACTGGGACTACACCAGATCTGCCCAGGCCTTTACTCTTCTCAAGGTAAAGGTTGGGAATACAGTGGCAAAAAGACAGGGAATTCCCAGCCTTCAAGAGTCAGATAATGAGGGGGGGCAGGATGGTGGGCCGCTGAGCTCTCTACTGATCTTTCATTATCCCCCAAGGGCAAGGGCGAAATCCCAGAAGTGGCATTCATGAAGTGATCTCAAGTCATGCCCCAGAAGAAGCCCCTGTAAATAGCCCTTGGATATAGATGTCTCCTTGTCATGGTTGTCGTCTCCTCCTCCTCTCTGGCCCCAAGGCCACCCTGTGACTGTGACTGAGGACGGAGGGCTGCTGGATGATCCCTCTTCACCTGCCTTCTGGAAGACTCTGGAAGACTTTCAGAAGATTGAGCCTCACTGGTGCCAGGAAGCCAAAGGTTACTTTGTAGAACTGACACTAAATTACCCGAAGGACTGAGGTGCTTTGTGTACTTAACCCCAAACTCCTCCCTACTTTTTAAGATAAAGAGTGGTAATTGTATTTTGTGTCCTGCGCACTGGTTTTGGCCCCGCCCCTACAGCGGAGGGAAGTGGGGTGGAGGCTGCCTGCCTCAGGCCAATTGCGGGGACGGGGGTGGGGCCTGTCGGCAGGAAGTCCCACCTCGGAAGCGGGGCGGCGCGGCGCGGCGCTGGCCATGGCGGCCCCTGGGAGGCGTTTGCAAGTGCAGCTTCTTGTCGCGCTGCGGAGCCTATTCACACGCCGAACCCTGCACAACGCTACCCCGCCACGGGACGTGTTGCTTTTCGAGCACGAACGAGGCCGCTTCTTCACAGTTCTCGGGCTGTTCTGCGCCGGCCAGGGTGTCTTCTGGACTTCCCTGGCCGTGGCAGCCTTGGCCCGACCCTCGGTTCCGGCGCGGCCTCAGGACACGGAGTTTCCAGACCGCGGCCGCTTGGACGTGCGCTCCGCGCTCTGGCGCTACGGTCTGGCCGTCGGCTGCGGCGCCATCGGTAAGGCATGGGCTGACTCCCCACTATGGGGATGTGGGTGGCTGGGCACGACCCCCGCCCTGCTTAGACAATGCGAGTTAAGGGGCTCCTGACCCCCCAGGATGAGGAAGAGTGGGCCGGCCACCCACCATGGGAGTGTGAAGCACTGGAGATGGAAGCCCCTGAGCGCCAAGCTCTGGGACAGGCCTAGGCTGAGGTCTGCCTCTCACTGCGACCTTGACCAAGTTATTTCACCCCTGGACCTGTTTTCCTGTCTTTAAAATGGGGATGGGCATCTATTAAAGTTGTTGGGAGGAATGAGTAACACAAGATTCTGGGGTGTAAGAGGAGCTCAATAAATATTACTATTACAATCACTTGTTTTTATTCAGGAATACTAGAAGGGTTGCTTGCTCTCCAGTGAAAACCTCACCCCATCTGCTTTTCTTGCAGGTACCCTGGTACTTGGTGCTGGTCTTCTCTTCTCCCTCCGCTCTGTGCGTTCGGTGATGCTGCGGGCTGGAGGGAAGCAGGTGACCCTCACCACTCATGCCCCCTTTGGTTTGGGTGCCCAGTTCACTGTTCCCTTGAACCAAGTATCCTGCATGGCCCACAGGGGTGAGGTCCCTGCCATGTTGCCTCTGAAGGTCAAAGGCCGGCGCTTCTACTTCCTCTTGGACAAAAGTGGACATTTCCCCAACACGAAACTCTTTGACAACACTGTGGGTGCATACCGTAACTTGTGAAAAAAAAACACCTTGGGACACTTACCCCTCCCAGAGGGGAATCAAAACTGAACCTTAGGGATGGGGGGTGACAACCAGAGTCACACAAGGTGACCCAAGATTCACTAACAGCAAATAAAAGCAGCCATCCCAAGGGCAGCTACCTGAATATACCTCTAAGTTTGATCCATGTCTGTTTAGCCTTTACTCTTTCCTCCCATCCACCTACCTACAGGGCTTTAACACTGAGAACTCAGTACCAAGATGAAAGAAGAAAGGAATATATTTTGGTATAAAAACAGCTGTAGGAAGAGAGGTGGAGGGGCCTGTCGTCATGTTTCCCTGATGAAGGAAAAACTGAGGCTCCCAGATGAGTGGGGGCAACAGGGCCACGTAGGGGCAAGAGGATTGCAGGCACTTGGGCATGGAGTCTGGCTGCAAGAAGCACTCTGGTTACTCTTCAGGAATGGGAAAGGTGTGGCCCAACAAGAACGTCTGTCTCAGAGCTCCACTCAGGGACCCCTCTCTCCAGAGGCCGGTATGGGGCGGCTTCAGACTTCCGCTGCATGATCTGGAGCACCAAGACCACACACCACAATACCAGATTGACCCAAGAAGAGTTCTGTGGGAGACAGGGACAGGCGTGTGAGGAGTGAGACCATCTCAATCCATTTCCACCCACACGACTCATCTGTTTGCTGTCAGGCTGAGGAGCCCTTCAGCTCCTCTTCAGCCTGTCACTGGTGGACACCCTTAACAACTACAGATGTTTCTATGAATTTGTGTACCCCTGGGTCTCCCTCCACCCAGTCTTTCATATCCCAGGACCTCACTTCAGCATTGTGTAGGTTGGAGTAGAACTGCAGAGTGGTTCCAGGGGGTGTCCATGGAATTTTCTGGGCTTCAGAGCAGCTGTGAGGTCAGAAAGACAGTTGTGAGATGGGGTATTATACCCCAAACACTCCGTGCTTGGGTGCCCTTCGAGATGAGAATTGATGTGGATAAAAAGGGATCGCTCTGCCAAGGGAAGGTACTCAGACCCAGCCAGGCACCTCCCCTCCCCCGCCATTACCTAATTGTAGCGTTCAGGGAGGTGATGGACTTGCAGAGAGAACTGGTGCCAAATCGAAGGACACAGGCAGACACTAAGATCAGGAAGACGGCTATCGCTGAGATGGCCAGCGCAACACAAAGCCCTATCCGGCCTCTGAGGAGGGAGAAGCAGCCTTGTAGTTGAGGTGGGACTCCTCCTACCTCAGCCCCTGGCCCTCAGAGTGGTGCAGTCAGTCACCTGTTGGAGTCCTCGATGCAGCTGCTGTAGACCCAGAAGAGCAGAAGCAGGAGACAGTAGAGAGCCAGGAGGCCAGAGGCCCCAGACACAAAGTAGCAGAGGGAAGGGGCTGAGGGTCGGGATAAGGTCAGGGAGGAGCGATTCAGGGAGGCCACACCATATAAGGGACAGCTGCCACTGAAGGAAACCTGTGGAGAGAAGCTGCTGAGGCCTGGATTTCAGATTACTCCCTCTAGATGCAGGATCGTGGCAGGTGTTAGGGATAACGTAGGCCAGGGCCACACTAGGAAGTTATTTGTGTACTGTCAGTTCCTATTTCCGTGCCAGTACAAGGCCTGCTGGGGAAATAAAACCGTGGCCAGGATCAGGAAATAGGCGGTGGTTATAAAATACACTGAGCTTCAGAGATGGTTTCCTCTCTCTGCAGAAGTCCTAGAGCAAAACCAGTACTTGTGTAACGTAACACCATCTCCGATGCTTCCCAATCTGTAACACAGTGCCTACTTTGTAGGAATTAAATAAGCCTATGTTTACTAGCAAGATTGGCTGGCGTAAACAAAGTAAATTATTGGCTTCTGTTTTACGTAATAAACTTTCCACATCAATATTCTGTCATTTTAACATTGTATTGCAATCATGTGATTGCAATCTCCACTACACTACGCTTTATTTCTTGGCGTAGCTCAGCACAATAGTGTCTGATTTCAGGATGAGGCAGGGCCTGGGCCGACTTGTTTCAAAAACAGGGTAAGCTTATATGCAGCAGAAGCCACGAGGTCGGGCTGTGTATGTTGCTGTTAAGTCGCTCCAGAAGACTTGTCCCTTTGGCGAGGGAATGAATGAGGTATGTCCTGGGCAGACGGAGCCACAGAACGCGATTAGCGCCGATCCATCTCCGCCGCAGACCTGCGCCCGCCGGCCCGGGGCGGCCCCGCCCGCAGACCAGTGGTCTCCGGTCAGGAACGGCCCGCTCCCCGCCTACCCGCCCCTACCCTCACTCCGCCTCGCAGCCGCACCTGGGTCCGCGTCAGCGTCGCGGCCGCCACGGCCCCGCACAGGAAGGCGGCGGCGAAAAGCGCGAGCTCGACGCGTTGCAGCCAGTGCAGCGCCATGGAACCCTCGCTACCTGGAAGCGCAGCCCCAAGAGCCAACCGCCCACGCAACGCCTCATCCGCCGCGACCCAAGAGCGCGGAGATCTCACTTCCGGGGGCGGGGTTTATTTACATTGGCAGGGGGCGCGCCGCCTCAGAGCGGCAGGTACAGCGAGTAGTCCGACAGCGCCCAGCGGCGGGCCGGGCGCCCGGTGCGGCCGATCATGGGCAGCTTCTGCACGTAGCGGGAGGCCGGGCTGGGTCCGTACGGCGCGGGGAAGGCAGTCTGGAAGAGGCGCCCGCGGCACCGCCTCCCGGCTTGCCGTCCGGCGATGATGAAACGGAAATGGGGGGCGCCGCGCGGGGCGAAACGGCTCTTTTGGAAGACGTCGCGGGTGCCGGCGCCCGGGCCCTGCTGCCGGGGCGCCCCCCGCGCCCGGTGCACGCGCGGCAGCGGCCTGTTCTCAGAGGCGGCGGGTGTAGAAGCTGATGGTGGACCGCTGCCCCGGGGGCTCTCGTCGCCCTGTGGGCTGACCATGGCGTTGGCCGTCAGCTGCGGCATCTTCCGCACCGAGTCCGGGGCGGCAGCCGGCTCCTTCTTGTCCCCCGGCGGCCGGGGGGCCGTGGGCGCAGGCTGACCCGTGCCAAAGCGGGTGGCCAAACTGTCACCGAAGAAGGCATAGAGCTCCCGGTAGATGTCTGCCAGGGTCACCGAAGGAGTAGGTTCCTCTGGCTCCGCACCTCCTGGTGGCAACGGGAGGCCAGACCCAAAGCCTGGCTCTGCACTGCCCCCGGAAGGAGACTCCTGCAGGAGAAGGCTGTCCCAGGGCAGGTCATCAGAACGCCGGCACCCCTTGCCGCCTGGGCCACCCTTGCTGGGCTCTGCTGCCTGGGCCTTCATCTTCAGCAGTCGCTCTACGGCCACCTGTAAAAGCAGAGAGATTGGGATATGCAAGCATCAAGTATTCCGAAGTCAAGCCTGCTGAGCTCATGCAAGGAAGAGGGGCTGGCACTCACCAGAATGGCTCCATAGACTTTGTGCCCATCTGCTTTAACCTGGGCATTAGATACTGAATAGTCATCTAGCACAGCCTGCAGATTTGTCCAGTAAGTGGACAGGTGTGGGTACAGGACTCTTTCTACTGCCTGGAAGGGACAGAAGGAATGCAGTGAGTGCTTCTTTGTTGCTCATTGACTCTCAAGAACCCTTTCCCATGAAAGACCTGCTTTTATCTTATGATACAGGACAATGTGCAATCCTAAATTTCCTGCTTGGCATACTCAGCCAACATTTACTTGGAACGTATTGTGCGCCCAAGATTTCACTAAGCACTGGGAATAAAGGCTGGGTACAAAGACAAACAACATAAAGTGACTCCACTATCACTGACATAAGGGCTAAGAGGGTATATATGTTATATGTGATACCAGTGCTAACAACAGAAATTTAGTTTGCCAACTGCTACCCTATACAGTCAATAGGCAAGTACTGTCCTCACTTAAACTGCGACTCAGTTCAAACCACAAAAACAGATCAGAGACCTGGACTCTGATTATATAATTTTAAATCCTGTAATTTGGGCAAAGCAATTAAGACTTCACAGAGGTGACATTTTTGATGGGCTTTGTTGGGTAAGAGTTCTTTGGTTAGTCATCACTGCTTGAGCATTTGAAAAATGTTGACAAAATTGACAAGTTCCTAGAAAAATATAATTTGTTGCTGACTCAAGATATATGAAAGCTTAAATAATTCTATAACTATGATAGTTAAAAATCTAACCACAAATAAATTTTGGTTATCAAAATTTGCAAAGTCTATAGACATTTAATCTTATTAAAAATACATAAAAAATAAATCCTCCCTACCTCATTCTATGAGGCCAGTATTTCCCTGATCCTAAAGCCATACAAGGGCATTACATGAGAGAAAACACGATTGATTTCACTCATGAATATAGATAAATACTTGAAAAATTTAGTAAACCCAACACTATATAGAAAATGCAGGGGCCAGCCAAGTGGCTCAGTTAGTTAAGAGCAGGAGCTCTGAGCAACAGTGTCGCCGGTTCGATTCCCACATGGGCCAGTGAGCTGCAGCTGCCCCAGTAGGATGCCCCAGTAGGATGGCTCAGCTGGTGAGAGCACATGCGCCTAACAACAAGGTTGCCAGTTAGACTCCCACATGGGATGGTGGGCTACGATCACCCGCAACTAAGATTGAACACAGCCCCTTGAGCTGAGCTGCCCTGAGCTGCCGACAGGCAGCCAGATGACGACTGGACTTGGAGCTGACCTAGATGCGCCCTCCACAACTAAGATTGAAGGACAACAACTTGGCTGTTCCCCTTCCCCAATTCCCCAATAAAAGAAAAAAAATGCATTATATTCCAATAAAGTTTTGGATCTTTTTATATATATATAAAAGACTATATACCATGACCAAATTGAGTTTATCCTAGAACTGTAAAGATGGTTTACTATTAGAAAATCTATATATATAATTAATCACATTAACAGATAAAAGCACAAAAACCTGAGGATCAATTTAAAAAATATAGAAAAAGCGTTTGCTAAAATTTCAACACAAATTAATGATAAAACTAAGATAATTTTCTTAATCTGAGAAAGGTTATAAACACACAAAATAAACAACAGCCTCAATGAGAAAGGTTATTAGCACTTCCTTTAAAATTGGGAATGAGACTAGGTTGCCCATTATCATCAGATGTAAAATGATATTAGTGATCCTAGCAATGAAATAATAAAGAAATGAAAGGGATGAGGTTTAGA